CCTATAGAATCGATTCCTCTTAATCGTATTATCCTCAGTCGTGTTACGATAAGTATTATGAATTATTGTTACTATCATTCGTAAGATTATGACCCGTTGTCGCACTATTGAATAGTAATAGCGATATTGGTGTGAGTATGAGTAGTGTTACTATGATTAGTATTATTATTCGACAACCTCCACCCCCTCCCCATCCGCATCCTCCTCATCATCATCCTCCTTGTCATCCCCCTCTTTTGTTCTGACAGCAGCTACCATGCCTCAGAGAGTTCCCGGGACCTCGCCCAGCGACAAGAACACGCCGAACACGAAGGAGGACACGTGGAGCATAGAGCGAGACACCTCTAGGAGTACGCCTGCAGAAGAAATTCCTGGAGAAATTGCAAAGAAAATCGCCAGCAACGATGACACTGGATAGAGCACAACCCCATGAAGTGGAGAACGACTTGATCTTCGCGGCAGCCACATACAATGAGAATCATCTGCACCAGGAAGCCCCGAACGAAGAAAAAATAATGCCGAAGACGCACTGCAACACCATAGCAGAAGCACCAAATCCAGAACACCGAAGCGGACGATATACCAGAATTTGGAAGAACACCCACTTGAAAGACGTACCCATGCGGAGTATAGCTCAGCAGAACGCAAACAGCTGGCCTTCACCTGGATCAGGAGGCAGATGAACGGGAACCCGTACAGCAGCCAATCGATCCTGATCTTCATCTTCTTCGAGGCGGCGATCCCAATCCTTGGACTCCGAGCCAGCACCCACGGGCCCCACGTCAGAGAGCGGCAATCCAGCCTCGGCCTCGGGCCGCGAGACAAGCTCGGCGTCAGAGGAAAAGGCAGGCTTGGCGTAGGGCGGTGCGTCGGGCACCACGTGGGGCTCCGCGTCGGACGAGCAGGCAACGGCGTCGGACGGAGAGTCGGGCTCGACGTGGCCACCAGCAGCAGCCTCGCCAGTCGCAAGCAGCGAGGCTAGGCGAAGGCCCGCCTGGAAGCCGTCCCCGAAGGCACCCGCCAAGGCCTCAGGCGGCAGCCACGCACCAGGCGCCAGGGCCAGGGGTTGCTGCTCACTTGCGCACTCGAACCTGTGCATGAGCGCGTCGACATCGCCTGGATCAGCTACACTCGGCCCCGCCTGGGCCCCCAGGCGCGGGCCAGCAGCCGCCATGGCGATCTCGCCGTCGGACGCCAGCTCGAAGCCGCACGTTGGGGCCTCCGCAGCGTGCCGTGCGGCGTTGCGGCGCCTGCGAGCACTGCCAGCAACCCGCTGGCCAGCGGCCGCACACTGGAGGGCTGGACGGGAGGCACGCTCCCGATGCTGCCACGAGCCTGGGGAGTATGGCCCCAACTCCTTGCGGCACCGCGCCTCCAGCGCCGCGAGACGCCTGCGGCGGGCCGCACGGCGCGCAGCCGTGGGCCAGAAGATGATGATCTCGTACTCCCGCATGCCCTTGGGCCGCCATGCACCGGGCAGCCCCCCGCAGCCACTGCCGTCAGCCCGCGCCACCATCGACCGGAAAAGGCTATGGCGAAACGGGGAGAAACAGCTTGAGCCAAAATGGCTACGGACTGTCATCCCCCTCCTCCTCATCCTTCTCCTCCTCCTCCTCTTCTTCCTCCTCCTCCTCCTCATCCTCCTCCTCTCCTCCTCCTCCTCCTCTTCCTCCTCCTCCTCGTTTTCGTCCTCCTCATCCTCCTCCTCCTCCTATTACCCTTCTTATGTTTAACATTCGCATTCCCATTCGTATGATGTTCGTATTGTTAATAATACTAATATTATTCATATTAGTGTTCCTCCTCTTGTCCGTAATGTTATTCGTTTGATTCGCATGATCATTACTAGTAGTAGTCATATTATTTATGTTGTTATTGGTAGTATTCTTGCTCTGTTTATTATTACAAGTATTTGCGGTGGTGTTAATATTATCATTAGTTGATTAGTATGCTTCGTATTAGTAGTAATAATTTTAGTATCCTTCGTCGCCGTGTTGTTATATGTAGTATTGGTGATACGATTAGCATTCGTATTCTCAGTAGTCGAATTAGCAGCACGAGTACGATTATGACTCGTCGTCTTCTTCGTGTTCGTCGTCTTCTTAGTATGATGTACTGCTCTTATTATTCGTATTAGCTTTAGTCGTACTCTTAGTCTTCGTATGATCAGTATTGATACTCCGATCAGTCGCACTACGATTCTTAGTATTCGCACTCGTAGTAGCACTAGCATTCGCAATACCATTCTTACCATTCGTACTATTATTCATACTGTGTTCCGTCTTCTTACTAGTAGTATTGTTTTTGATAGTATTGTGATTCGCCTTCTGTTTAATACGATCGCGCTAAGTATGCAGTGTGCTTAGAAACGCTCGTAACCTTCTTCTTAATAATATTATTACTACGCGTTATGCATATTTGTCTTAGTCGCCTCCGCCTCCTCCTCCTCCTCTTCCTCCTCCTCTTCCTCCTCCTCCTCTTCCTCCTCCTCATCCTCATCCCCCGCCTCCTCCTCCTCCTCCTCATCATCATCATCAGCATCATCACCACCACCACCACCACCATCATCATCATCATCATCATCATCATCATCATCAGCATCCTCTTCCTCCTCTTCCTTCGCGTCTTCCTCCTCCCACTGTTCTTCCTCATCCTCCTCATCCTACTGATCCTCCTCCTCATCCCCCTCCTCCTCCTCCACTCCTTTTCTTTATCAATAGCTTCTCCCTGTCGCACCCCGAGGCAAGTTTTTAGGGCGGGCCGAGTGTTTCGCTTCAGACTTCCTCATCACGTATGACTCTGAAGCTAAAAAACTTGGCAACAGCTTCACATATAAGGGCGAGCGGTTTCAAAATGTGGCTCTCGCCTCAGCGCGGAGCACAATCGTTTTATAAAAATTCGCACGAGCTTCACGGATTGAGGGCGGGTCGTTTTCAAAATGTGGCTCTCGCCTCAGCGCGGCGCACAGTCTTGTCAAACAAAGTGCAAGTGCTTCACGGTTTGAGGGCGGGTCGTTTCCAAAATGTGGCTCTCGCTTTAGCGCGGCGTACATCCGTTTTAAACAAATTGCAAGAACTTCACGGATTGAGGGCGGGTCGTTTTCAAAATGTGGCTCTCGCCTCAGCGCGGCGCACCTTCGTTTTAAACGAATTCCAAGCGCTTCACGGATTGAGGGCGGGTCGTTTTCAAAATGTGGGTCTCGCCTTAGCGGGGCGCGCATTCAGTTTACAAAATATGCAGGAGCTTCACGGATCGAGGGCGGCTCCTTGTCAAAACGTGGCTCTCGCCTTCGCTCCGCGCACATTCGTTTACAAAAAATGCAAGGGTTTCACGGATCGAGGGCGGTTCCTTTCAAGACGTCACTTTCGCCGTCGCGCCGCGTACATTCGTTTACAGGATTTGCAAGAGTTTCACGGGTTCCTATCATCAAGGTACCATAAATTGTGGTTCGAACAGAGTTCAGGATTACGCGGGCGCAACACTTACGTTCGCTCGCCGTGTTGGAGTCCCAGGAATGGCGTTCTAGCAAGATTCGGGATCGTCAACATGCAATGGTCAGGTTGATCAGTGGCGTTGGAATCCCGAGAGTATTGGTTTGGCATGCTTCAGTGTCTTCAAACGGTTTTCTTCCAACGAAGCAGTTCCCTCAATGTGAATGAGCCGTTGTAGGGGCGTATGAAGAGGGAGTTTGGAGGGCGAGTTTATTCCAACATCGTTGATGACTCTTGGGTTTACACTGATCCTCCTATTCCTGCTGCTCCTCCTCCTCCTCCTGCTCCTCCTCCTCCTCGTCCGCCTCCTCCGTCTCATCGAGAACCGTGTTACGCAGAAAGCATATACAAACCACCACCGTGCCAGGCCAGGGCCATCCTGGGCCCTAGGATGGTGTATACGCCCTCCTGGCCGAGCCAGGAGGGTCTATACACCATCCTACGGCCCAGGATGGCCCTGGCCTGGCACGGTGGTGGTGTATAGGTGCCTTCGTCGGACGTGTTGGCTTAATCGCCCTTCGCGCCGCGCCAAACCTCCCCGAGACATTCTTGGGAAGCTGCCCGCGCACCAGGCGGTGGACGCCAGCGAAGTCGGCGCGAATTCAAGGACTGCGCCTTCGGCCAGGCCAGTTGGGGCGGTCTGCCTCACGTGGAGCCCGCATCTCCCACTCCAACGAGGGCGGCAAGGTGGTCCGCTTCGCCGACGAGGTGACCAAGCCGCGGACCGCCTGGACGAGGAGCCGCCCGTGCCAGGTTCGCGGCTGGAACACGCAGTGTGCGCGGCGCGGGTGGCACCGCAGGTGCGGGGCCCACGTGGAGGCCCGCGCCCCCCAGGCCTCGCCCCGTCGCCGAGGGGGCGCCGCTCCTCCGCGCGGCAGCGAAAGCTCCGACACCCTCGCCCAGCCTGGCGAGGAGGCGAAGTTGGCACTCCCCGCGTCCTGCAAGCGCGGACCCGCTGCCGCCGACGGTGCAGGAAGCCCTGGCCGTGCCCGCGTCCCGCGCGGAGCAGGCGGCGGCGCCCCTGCCCCCCTTTCCTCGGCCGAGGGCGCGTTCCGCAAGGTGGCGGGCGAGCGGCAGGACGTCAACCGCCGCCACGCCCACGCCGTCGAGGCCGTCGTCCGCATCGAGGGGCAGCTGGCGGGCGCCCAGCAGCGCCTTGCTCTACGCTGCCCGTGCCCCCTGCCGAGGCGACGGAGCGCAAGCGGCGCACGGCGGCAGTCCCTGCGGCGCCGGGCGAGGCCCCCCGAGGCGGCGGGCCTCTGGCCCGCACGGGGAGCAGCTCCTGGGCCAGCGCTTCCCCTCGTCGTGGAGCGAGTCCACCTTCAGGGACCTGGACGAGCTGGACCCGACGGGACAGCAGCAGATGGCTGGTGGGCACCCGCAGGCGGTTCTCGCGGGAGGTGCTCGCCCGTCCGCCCTCCCCGACTCTCCACGGGCACGCCCCACCCTGCTGACCACCGAGCTCCACCCCTGGCAGCCCTCGCCGCCCGCGCGGGCGGGCGCGGACGCCTGAGTGGTCGTGGTCCAGCTCCTTGAGCACATTCCTGGGCTGGGCTGGAGGAGGGAGGAACGAAGGGGAGGGAGGGAGGGGAGGGGAGGGAGGGAGGGAGGAGCCTAGAAAAGGACGTACGCGCCAAGCCACGAACATTGGAATGCTCCCCAGTTCTCGTCAAGAACGCTCGCGCGGTGCGCTCTCTCGAAACCGGTTGCATCCCACCATACCTTTACAGCGTGAGCGGTTCAGCGAGTTGGCCCTCCCAACCCCATTATTCCCCTTCGGGGACGGTTACCCTTCGCCCTGCCCCCTTCCCCTGGGTCTGGAGGGGGGGGGGGGGGCGCGACGCACTGGAGCGTCCAAATTGGACCACGACAGCTCCGAGATGGCCTCGGATGGCCCAAGCTTGCCTCCGAGACCACACATTGTGGCCCAGGATGGATCAGGATAGCGTCCACCGTGCCTCATCTCCAAGATCGTTCCAAGACTGCTCCGAGTGACCACGGAGCCTCCAAGGGACGCCCCCGAGGGGCCCAAATCCTTCCAAAACCTATGGGAAATGAATGTGTGTTGCCTTCTCGCATTGTCGCTTCCGACGAGCCTGGGAGGCTACAAGAGGGCTCCACTATGACCCGAGCCTCAAGAGTGGCCTGAGAGGGCCCCAAGACGGCCCAAAGAGCGCCCAAGAGCGCCCCCCCAGAAGCGAGTATTCGACCTCCGACGGGGAGACCGTATTCCGCGCTGCACTCTGCTTCAATCGATGACCTCCAAGGGTCGTGCCCTTTTTTCTTAATGCTCCGCCATTTCTCCTCCTCCTCCTCCTCCTCCTCCTCCTCCTCCTCTTCCTCCTCCTCCTCATCATCATCATCATCCGACTCCTCCTCATCCGCCTCATACGATCAGTCTTGGTAATAGTATTAGTACTACTGATACTCGTATTATTATCATTAAGGGAGTACTATTCTTATGAATACTACGACTATGATTATAATTCGCATTAGTCTTATTAATCGTATATCTATATGTGTTAGTAATGTGTTTGTTGTTCGGTGTTTTTTATTCCTTATAGTAATACTACTAGTCACATTCGTCTTCTTGGTGTTAGTAGAAGTGTATTATTAAGGCTTAATATTACTATGATTCATTCTACTGTGACGGGTCTTGTTATGATTCGTCTTATTATTCGTTGACATGTTATTATCGTTATTGGCGCTACTTCGTATTCACAATAGTTGTCGTCTGACTATTACGCTCATGTATAGTATTAGTAGTCGTCTTTTCACTATTACTGTTCGTCTTGTTGTTATTCTCTGTATTGATATTACTATTATTATCCTCCTCCTGCTTCTGCTTCGTCTTCTTCTTAGTATTAGCATTCGTCTTATTATTATTCCCATTGTTATTATTATTCCTCCTCCTCCTCAGTATCCCCCTCATCCTCCTCCTCCTCCTCCTCCCCCTCCTCCACCTGCTCATTATTATTCGTCTTCTTATTCTTCTTAATATAAATACTAGTATGATTGGTGCTAGTATGAGAAATATACATGTTCCTCTTATTCCCTTGTCTTAGTAGTATGCTTTTCATGTTGCTAATATTGTTCCTCTTCTTTTCACTCCTCCTCCTCCTCCTGCTCCTCCTCCACTTTTTCGTACCAACATTAGGAGCAAGCCTGTTGCGTTTGTCCTCCTCCTCCTCCTCATCCTCCTCCTCCTCCTCATCCTCCACCTCCCGCTCCTACTCCTACTCCTCTTCCCCCTCCTCTTCCCTCCCCCTCTCCTCCTGCCGGTGCCGGTCTACTCTTCCTTCTCCTCCTCCGTTTCCTCCTCTCCTCCTCCTCCTCCGCGTCCTCTAATTCCTCCTCCTCCTCCTCCTCCTCATCATCATCATCAGCATCATCATCATCATCATCATCCTCATCATCATCATCATCATCATCATCATCATCATCATCATCATCATCATCATCATCCTACTCCTCCCCTCCCTCTCTCCCTCTCTCCCTTATCCTTCTCCTTCGTACTCCTCCTTCGTCTTCTTCTCCTCCTGTTCTGCTTGTTATTGTTGATTAGGCTTCTCCTAAGTATTACTGAATGTTTGTGTGATTATTGCTCGCTTTCTTCTGGTGGTTCTAGTGTTGTGATTGTTGCTCGCTTTCTTCCTAGTAATATTAGTATTCGCGTTTTTCTGGCTAATACTACTACGCACCATCTTCAGGCTGTTTGACTCATCCTGATTGGTATTTAACAGAGTACCGTCAATGTTAATAGTATAAGTTGTACTATTCATTTATCAGTACTCAAAGTATGACTCTCCGCAATACTAGCATTACGATCATGCGTCTTCTTATGCTTACCAATATTATTACGAGTGTTAGTGGTAGCGTAATTATTCTTCTGAATCGTATTAGTATTGTTCGAATGCGTGCTCTTCTGATTTTGATTATTCGATTGAATTGTTAGCATCATCATCAATACTGGTACAAGTACGATCAGTACGAGTGTTTGAATTTAAATGTATAGAGAGAGGGTAACAATAACATCATTTGTATGCGTACGATTACTGAATATTGTGAAATACTGTTGGTGGTGCGATGAACATTCCTATAATGAAAACAATTAGAACATATTCAATAGTTATCATTAATGGTAGAAGTATTATTGGTGTTATTACTAGTGCCAGTGTTATCAGCATCAGCACTACTATCAGTAGTAACGTCTTTGTTTTTAGTAGCAGTATCGTTGGTGTTGGTAGCGTTACCCCCCGTAATATTAGTCTTGATCGTACTGTTGGGTCTACGTTGAGTGTTAGTAGTACGGTTACTATTACCAATATTAGTATTGTTATTGCTGGCATCATCAATATTATTCGGATCATCGATAAAATTAGCATTATGAGTGCAACTGTGCGTCGCATTATTCTTCTCATTCAGACTGCTCGTATCAATCGTGTGACTCCTCATATTCCTCGTAATCCTCTTCCTCCTCCTCATCATCATCAGCATGATCATCATCACCATCATCATCATCCCCATCCTCCTCCCACTCCTCCTCCGCTTCTTCCTCCTCATCCTCCTCCTCCTTCTCACTATGCGCCCCCTCCTCCTCCTCCGCCCCCTCCTCTTCCTCCATCCCACTCCTCATGAATAACCACCCCCTGTCGCGCACACAGACGTGTCGGTAGGGCGGGCGTACCGTGTCGCCTGGGACGTCCTCACCACTTCTAATCCTGAAGCTTGAACTTGCAACAACTTCATGGATGGAGGGCGGGACGTTTTCAAAATGTGGCTGGCACTTTAGCGCCGCGCACAAGCACCGTAAAGGCTTGGAATAATTTCACTGTTGGAATGCGGGCCGTCGTCAAAATGTGGCTGTCGCCCTAGCGCCGCGCACAGTCGTTTTAAAGGTAGGCAACGGCTTCACTGATGGAAGACGCCTCGTTTTTTATATCCATCCCGCTTTCGCACCGCGCACAATCCGGATTAAATGCTTGCAACAATTTCAAGGATGGAGACAAATTCTTTTCAAAATGTGGCTCTCGCATTAGCGCCGCCCACATTCGTCGCAATAATTCAAAGGCTTCCCATGGATGAAGTCCCAGGAATGGTGTTCTGGCACGGCTTGAGATTGCCAGGACGCAGCAGTCACGATGACTCGCGGTGATAAATGTTCTGGCATGATAAAGGATTGTCAGGACGCAGCAGTCGCGTTGACTCGCGGAGCTGAAATTCCAGGAACGCTGGTTTGGCACGATTGGGGATTGGTTGTGACTCAACTCTCGCTGTAGGAACCCAGAAGGTTGATGCGTTTTGGGTTTACGTTGATCCTCCTCCATTCGTACCCCGGGGCCGGCCGAAAGGGCGGGCCAGGCGTTTCGACTGAGACTTCCTCACCGCTTACGGCCCTGAAGCGTAGAAATCGGCAACAGCTTCACAGATGGAGGGCGGGTGGCTTCCAAAATGTCGATCCCGCCTTGGCACCGCGCACATTCGGCTTAAATGCTTGCAACTGTTTCAAGGATGGAGACGGGCTCTCTTCAAAATGTAACTCTCGCCTTAGCGCCGCCCACATTCGTCTTGAACGTTGGCAATAATTCACAGGCTCCGCATGGTTGAAGTCCCGGGAGTGGTGTTCTGGCACGGCTTGGGATTGCCAGGACGCAGCAGTCACGATGACTCGCGGTGATGAACTTACAGAAATAATGCTCTGGCACGAAAGAGGATTGTCAGGACGGAGCAGTCATGTTGACTCACAGACCTGAAGTCCCAGGAACGCTGTTTTGGCACGATTGAGGATTATCAGACGGTTGTGTCTCAATGGGGCACCTCTCGCTGTAGCGACCTATGAAGTTGATGCGTCTTGGGTTTACGCTGGTCTTTCAACTCCTCCCTGTCGCATCCCGGGGCCGGCCGAAAGGGCAGGCCAGTCGTTTCGCCTGAGACTTCCTCAACACTTAAGGCCCTGAAGCCTAGGAGTTGGATGCAGCTTCACAGATGGAGTGCGGGGTGGCTGTCAAAAGGGGGCAATCGCCTTCGCGCCGCGCACATTCGTTCTAAAAACTCACAAGAGCTTCGAGGGCGGGTCGTTCTCAAAATGTGGCTCTCGCATTAGAACCGCACACACTCGTTTTAGAATTAGCATCAGCATAACATATGGTAAGCGGGTGGTTCTCACAATGTGTTGTTCGCCCCAGCTCCGCCCACATTCGTCACGAAAACCTACAGGAGCTTCACGGATTGAGGGCAGGTCTGTTGCAAAATGTGGCTCTCGCCGTAGCACCGCGCACGTTCGTTTCAAAAATTCACAAGCTTCCCAGATTGAGGGAGGTTCCTTTTCAAAATGTGGCTCTCGCCTTGGCGCCGCGCACAGTCGTTTTAGAAATTTGCAACAGGTTAACGTGTGGAAAGCGGGTCGTTATCACAGTGTGGTTTTCGCCTCAGTGTCGCGCGCATTCGTCACGAAAGCTTACAAGAGATTCACGGATTGTGGGCAGGTCTTCTGCAAAATGCGACTCTCGCCGTAGCGCCGTATACATTCGTTTTGGAAACTGCAAGATCTTCACAGATTGAGGGCGGTTCCATTTTCAAAATGTGGGTCTCGCCTTAGCGCCGCGCACAGTCGTCTTGAAAAATGCAAGAGCTTCACGCATTCCCTTGGTCAACGTACTAGACTTTGTGTTTTGAAAGGACTCAAGGCTGTGAGGGCGCAGCAGTCACGTTGACTCGCGGTGTTCAAGTTCCAGGATACGTGTTTTGGAATCCCGCGAATGGTGCTCTGACACGTTCCAGGGTGTTCAAACTGTTGTCTCCCAACGAGGCAGCTCCCTCAGTGGAAAGAAGCCTTGTAGGGGCCTATGGAGAGAAAGCTTGGAGGGAGGGTTGATTCAAACATCGTCGATCACCGTGGGTTTATGCTGGTCCTCCTGCTACTCCTCCTCCTCCTCCTCCATCTCTTCCTCCGTTCTCTCCGTTCTTCTCCTCCTCCTCCTCAGCATCATCATCATCCTTCTCTTTATCATCCACCTAATTTTTCTCCTCTCCCGTCCTCCTTCCCTCTTTCCTTCATCCTTACTCCTCCCTCATCCTCCTCATACATCCTCCCCTCTCCTTGAATATCCTGGGCTAGGCCAGTGCTGCAAACAGGATATCCTCGTCAGCCAGGCGCACTCGGTCTGGGCACGAGAAAAACCCAGGAGACCATATGAGGCCCAAGAGGAAGCCTGGGGAAGGCCCAGGAGATACTCGAAGCGCCCAGAAGGGCCCTGAAGCGCACAAGAAGGGACCAGGGGGCCCAAGAAGCCTGGGGGCCGTGCAAAGAATACTCGCGTTCCCCTTGCATGGCTGGATCCTCTTCCACTACTTTCTTCAGGAGCTGATCGCGCTTCCCTGTGCTTGATGGTGCCAATTCCGGCTCCGTTGGCATGAGACCTTCACTCTCGCCAGAGCATCCAGCATCGCCACGAGTTTGGCTAACTTCAGCATAGACAGCTCCGTCGGATGGACCTTATACTGCAGGCGCGTGACGACAGTACTTGAAGTGGAAAGAGACATCTTCTCCGGCCACAGCTGGACTCATTCTCTGACAGCCGTCTTCTCTGCTGCCGTCAGCTTCCACTGTGGCGCCACCAACCTCTGTCTATGTCAAGCATATGCCATCCTGCGCCGTGCTCTCGCCCATGCATGATGCTTTTGCACTTCCGCGCGGACCCCATGGCAACGTACGCATCCCGCGGACTCCGCAGCACTGCACGCACTGGCAGCCTCGTCGCCATCGTCAGCTGTGCGTCGCAGCGCTCCAGTGCCAGCAGCAGGCAAGATCGCGCCTCTCTTGCGAGCGAGCCTGCGCCACACAGTCTCCGCGTGGCGCTTCGTGACTGGGCGCGCGCGCGCAAGAACGCGACCGCCTGGCCAGCCCCTCGTGGCGGGACGTGGGGCCCGCCAGGCGCGCCCAAGCAAAAACGGCGTCGTCATCATAATCCTACTACCCCTACTCCTCATGATCATCGTCATTGTCGTCGTCCTATCATCGTCATCATCATCGTCAGCATCATCAGCATCAGCAGCATCATCATCACCATAATCATCATCACCACCACCACCACCACAATCATCAGCATCAGCAGCAGCAGCATCATCATCATCATCATCATCATCAGCATCATCATCATCATCATCATCATCATCATCATCATCATCATCATCATCATCATCATCATCATCATCATCATCATCATCATCATTACCATCATCACCAGCAGCAGCATCAGCATCAGCATCAGCATCAGCATCAGCAGCAGCATCAGAATCATCATCAGCATCAGCATCAGCATCATCATCATCACCATCATCATCGCAGCATCATCATCAGCATCATCATCATCATCATCATCATCATCATCATCCTCATCAGCATCATCAGAAGCAGCAGCATCAGCATCAGCGTCGGCATCAGCATGATCAGAATCATCATCAGCAGCATAATCATCATCAGCAGCAGCAGCACCATCATCATCAGCACCATCATTACCATCACCAATTTCTGGAACTCCTGTCTACCACCAAATGGTCATGGAGTCACGGCCAGCGGGCATCAAGGCCGAATCGAAGCGACAGATTGCAACGAGAGAAAAAACAAAAAAAAAAAAAAAAAAAAACGCATCGGTGGTTGCCAACAGCGGGAACGGGAGGACTTTTTTTGTTGCGCACCTGGCGCATGCGCAGTTCGGTCGGGCACCTCAGGGACACCACAGTCGGGGAGACGTAGGACTCGGGTTCTGGGGACTCGGGTTGGCCTGGCGGGGCCATCATGAAAATGACGAGGCCCAATCTGAAATTTGACGCGAGCTCCTGCTGCAGACATCCCGCGAAAACTGGACCGTCAAAATCCAGAACGCGCTCGTCAAAGAAAGTCGGCAAACCCGAGTTCCAGCGTACTCGAGTCTTACGCTTCCCCGACACAGCGGCGAACTGGACACTGCGCGAAAAAGGGAAAAGGAAATGCAGGGCAGCCGCGGAGAGGAGGAAGGGAAGAAAGGGCGGCCACCCCAGACGCGTGTTCGGGAGGCGTGCTGCGGCCCAGGCTGGGACGAGCAGGGCAAGCACAACGTGCAGACGTTCGAGAAGAGGTCCGGCAAGCTGGGCACTCCTCGGGGACTCCCTGACCCGGGGCAGTGCAAACCCAGGTCAGTCAAGCTTTGCAGGATCCTGCAAGATCCTGCAGGATCCTGCACCCAAACCCAGGTCAATGCAACCCTGGTTCTGCAGAATCCAGCAAGATCCAGCGCTCTGACTGACCCCTGTTTGCAGTGACCCCCGTCTCTTGAGCCCCGATGCGAGCTGGCTCGATCCATGCTGGTGCAGCGCCAGTGGGCCAATTCGGCACTGCCCAGGGCGCGGCAATGCGGGGCCATGACCAGCAGGGCGGGCGCCAGGAGGGTGCGTGCCACCAGGCGAGCGCGCGAGCGGGTCCGGCGGGGCAGGGGAGGGCAGGGGAGGAGAAGGAAGGGGATGGGGGAGGAGAGGAGGAGGAGGAGGAGGAGGAGGAGGAGGAGGAGAACGGAGAGAACGGAGGAAGAGGAGGAGGAGGAGGAGGAGGAGGAGGAGGGCGAGCGAGGGCGAGGGCAAGGGCGAGAGCCATGGCGGAGGGACGGGGCGGGGACGGGAGCGAGAGCGAACGCTGACGCGGGTGGAAGGGGCAGGAAACGGGGAGGTGGGAGGGGGGTGCGAAGGTCGATCACTACCGTCTGCTGCCCCCAATGTATCAACTAGCCCTCGAGGCACTCTCCTGGAGGCAGACAACAAGAGCAGCTGGCATCGAATCGCAAAATCGAATCGGGTCGAAACACACATTGAATCGGAGGGCATCGGCACGGAGTCGGAATCGAATCGGATCGACTGGGCCAGAATACACAGCAGCGCCAAGCAGGAATCGGGCCGCATCGGGTCGTCGAAAAAAATCGAGACCGAGTCGGTACGCACTGGTCGAGGTCGATATCGGATCGGATCGAACGGAACGAAACGAACCCCGGAGAATGGAGACCACTGGGCGTGGGGAAAAGGACGGGCCAGGGAGGCGTGTGGCCAGAGTCCGCCGCCCGGCCACCCCGCTGCAGTCTTCAGCCGCATCAGCTCGGCCTTGCGTTCTTTCAGCTCCGCCTCGGTGGCCTGGCCCGCCCAAAGGAGGCACGGCGAAGGGGGGGCAAGGAGGATGAGACGTGCGAGGAGGACAAAGAGGAGGGGCGGGCACGGTTGGCCGAAGCGGCTGCTTCGCGAATGGCCTGAGGGTAATCCCACGAGATCTCGACATGTTGCCAGCATCACAGGCGAGCGTAATCTGTCGTTTTAGGTTATGCTTCGGACTAGAATCACGCGAGAGGCTTGCGCTCTTAGGTTAAAGTAAAAACCAACCCTTCGATCAGCTTCCATACAGCTGCACGCATGTACGAGCCCACTGATTGCTCAGCTCGAGGTTCCACAACCACTCGCCACCAGGATGCAGACGCCCAGCTTCGCCGCGGCGATATGCGTGGAAGCGGGTCTGGACGCGGCCTGTGCAGCAGCACGGGTGATCCGACCACTCTTGCTCGTGATTCGAGGATGGCGCTCCCAGAAGGTCACGGGCAGCTGGAACTCGCGTTGAAAGACACGTCAATTCTCGTCGAACCGATGGCACTCTTGCCAATAGTGGCGCATGGACGGCTTCGGGTGCAAGCAAGACTGGCACATACTGTAAGAAGCCGTCCGAGTCGGAGTCTTCGAGGCACCACCGCGGCAAACATCAAGGCAGATGCGCTCGGCATCTGAAAGCTTTGCAGCGTACTCCTTCCAGGACTTTGCAAAGAAGCCTCCACATCCACATGCGATAGCTCCTCCACGTCATTGCGGGAGCCCGAGCAAGCGTTCAACGCGGTCACACGGCATACAATCCGCACAGCATGGTCGGCAGCAGGGTCGCTTATCCAGAAAGACTGACCATCTCGCCGAAGGACTTGGGTTGCTTTCAAGATGTGGGGGTCGGCTGTCTGAGGAACTTCCATCTATACTCCCCAGCCCCGCTCATGAGACAAAACATTGAAACCAATTACGTCGAAATGTGCTTGCACCGAGTTGGCCACGGAAGGCGACCATCGCAATTTCGGATCCTCTACGGCCTTGATCGCAACCAGGATGGGGCTTAAAGCGGGTGGAGCTGAATCCTCTGGGCCCACCATCGTCCTGCGCACCACCATGTGCGTCTCGAGCGGATGCAGGCCCGGAAAAGCTGGGGCGGCAAGTCGGGAGGCACTGTTGCCAGGAGGGGTGATGCCCACGCCCACAGCGGGCAGGGTCCGAGCAGACAGAAGCTCACCCGCGCAAAATTAATGCGAACAAGCGCAGTGCAAAGCAAAGCAGCTAAACGTTTGCATTACAATGACACAGCAGCACAAAGGAAGGCATTGTCATGGGAAGCGAATGAAATAACAATGCGACAAAATACCTACCTAGCAACGACGAGCTTCGAAGAAGAAACCTACAGAAACACAAGTGCAAAACAACGTTTGGAAACGGAAGAAAACATAGCGACGCAAAGCGACACAACATGAAGCACAACGAAATGCAAACGTATGCCAAGGCCGTGCATTAAAATGCACTGCCATGAAATGTGAATCAACGCAAGGAGCCAAACGAACCCGATGAACCCAAGACATTTCGGAGATCGGACAACGCAGGCACGGGAATTATCCCGCCCCTGCGCTAGCGAGCAGTCGCCAGGGCGCGCGAGGCCGCGGCCGTCGCGCGCGGATGGGGGGCCCAAGAAAGACCAGGACACCCCACGACGCGCGAGGGCTGAGCGGAAGACGGCCATCTCCTGCGCGTAATCGCCCTGGGCCGAGAGCCATCGGGGATCCACCAGCGGGGAGAAGGGCAACTGAGCCTCCCTCTCCCCGCGGGGACTGGTCACCTGCACGGGCGGCGCCTCCAGTCCCGCGAGGAACCAAGCGGCTTCCCGATGGACACGCTCCCCTTCCAGCTGGTCAATGAAAACGCACTGGCAAGCTACTAGGGTCTCCACCCTGTCCGCACCCCCGCTTTCGGACGCGCGCCACAGCTCCGCACTGAGCAATGCAAAATGCGCGAGAATCTCGCGCGTCGCTGGGCGGGCCCCCAGCGGGTTGCGCTCGCGAAAATACTGGAACATGGCCATGGGGGTGATGGCGGACAAGTCCACCCCCAGGGCACAGGCGAGGTTTGCCTTTAGGATCGACCGCACCTCGGGCCCGTGCTGTACCAATACCTGCTGCCACTCCCTGCGACGCGCGGCGCCGCGCGTCGTGATCCCGCGGCAGCCCCTCCCTCGGCCCCTGAGTGGGCCGCGTCATGGACAGGGTCGCTGAGCGTTCCCAACAAAGGGTGCGTCACCGCCCGCGGCGGCCCCGACCGCTGGAGGGACTCCCGCAGACACAGCAGTGCCAACTCCAGCGTGGACTCGGGGGCGCCGCTCACACGGAGCCCTTGGCCCGCGACGCCCCCCTCGGCGACGCCGCCGACACCGTTGGGCCTGGAAGCCCCGGGGGCGCAGTGAGCGGCGGCGGGTCCAAGGGCGGCGGAAGCGAAGGGCGCGCGCTCCCAGCCCAGCCTTGCCCCAAACCGCCGTGAGAGCCGACGGCGGCGTAGCTGCGCGAGTGCGAACCTGCCGCGGTGGGTGAGGCGACTGAGCGAGCATCGCCTAAAGGTCCTCCTGGGGGATGCCTACGCGCGCCGCCCCGTCAGCGAACAGCTGCGGCGCCTCGAGGCGGGCTCCGCGCGGGTCGGCGCGAACTTCCAGGGGGGGAGCCCCAGCCTGGGCCGCGCTTGCAGCCAGCAGGTGTTGGATCTCCAGCTGGACCTCCGCACAGATCATCGGCGCCCCTTCGCCCAGAGCCGCAGCGATGGCCCCCCCCCGCCCGCGGACGGGCCATGGCAGCCCATGGCTTCGCCTGCACGCCTTGGCGGCTTCGCGCCGACACAGGTGGCACCCCGTCGGCGGAGGAGCCCGCACCGGGATGGGAGTGAGGTCGTCGGCCTCGACGCCCTCCTCTGGGCCGTCCGCCCCGAACTCGTCCGCAGACTGATACAGGGTAGTCCTCTCGGCGCCTGTGGCAGCTTCGTCCCCCTCGACGGTCGGCGCGCCATGGATGGCTAGGCAGCCATCGCGAAAGCGGAGAACCCCCGCTGGGTGCGGCCAATTCGCACAGCCGCTGGCAGACCCGAACGAGACAAGCCCGTCGCTGTCTCCATCGTCCAGCGGGTTGAGAGCCTTGATATCCATCCCCGAAACCCTGGTCGCGGCGAAGCCTACCTCGCCCTCGTCCGAACGCCAGCGGTCGTACCTGGTGGCCGACGGCGCAGTAAACGCGTGAATGTCGGGCCCTTTCAGGCCCTTCGGGGATAGCAGGTCCCCCAGCAGCCAAGGCGGCGGCTGCCATAGCCGGCAGCGCGAGCCGAGTGACCCGCGGGCCACCCGAGGGGAAGAGCCTCGGGGCGGGGCAGCGGGCGGGCCCTGCGCCAGGGCCCACGCGCGCTCCTCGGCCCGCGCTCCTGGGCCGTAAGCCAGGGCGCGCTGCGCGCCGCGACCGTGCCCGCCAGGGGCTCCGCTCACGGCCCGCGCGCGGGGGAAGGCACCCAGCCCCCACAGGCAGGGCACGAGGGCCCCGACGCGGCACCCCCCGCAGAGGCTGCAGACAACTGTGGCACCGAGGAGGGCCACCACCGTCGAGAGCAGCACGGGGGTGATCCGCTGCTCAGGTCCACCGCCAGCCCCAGGCAGACGGTGGGGCAGCCCCCCGCCGCTAGGGTCGGCCTGTGCGGACCACGGCGACCCCGCGGAGGAGGCGCCGAGGTCCGCAAGCGAGGTGAGAGGCTGGCCCACGAGCCGCTCGTAAATCGCGCCCACACGCCTCGGAAGAGGAGCTCACCCGCCCCTTCAATGGCCGCCTGAGCGAGCGCCTGCGTAAGGCGCCCGCCGAAGAGGGCCGCGAGGGGGGCTTGGGCCGAGCAGCTGCAACGACCGCGGAGCGCAAAGGGGAGGGGAGGGAGAATAAGAGAGAGCATCCTTGCGAGAGAACCTGGGGAACCTGGACAGGGAGTCGCAAGTGCCATCGGCCCTCTTGTACAAAGGAACGAAAAAGGGAAGCAGAGAGAGAGAGAGAGAGAAACATAAAAATCCGGTGGGGAAGGCAGAGGAGAGAGAAGCGAGGAGATAGGTGGGGAAGGAAAGGGAGAAAGAACAATCAAGGGGACTGCGGAGGAAGGATGAACGGAGACCCGTGAAGGAAGGAGGCGGGATGCAGGAGCGAGGAAGGAGAGAGGAGGATGGAGGAGGGAGGGAGGAGGGAACGAGGAGCTAGACGGCCCCTTCGGGGCCGCTGCCAGGAAAGAGGCCGAGGCTTCCAGGAACCAACGAATCCGAAAAACTAGGATCGCCAGAGGCGACGCCCTGGCTTTCCCACGCTGGCTGATGCTGTTCCTTCCGAAGGGAAAGGGGAGGGAGGAGGACGGAGGGGGCGGCAGGAAGGAGGAGAAAGGAGGAGGGACAAGGAACAAGGATGAGGGAGGAGGGAGGAACAGAAAGCGCACACGCACCCAAACAACAACAACGACAACGACAACGACAACGACAACGACAACAACAACAACAACAACAACAACAACAACAACAACAACAACAACAACAACATCAACCACAACAACAACAACAGCCACAACAACAATAACAACAACAACACAAAAAAAAAAAAAAAAAAAAAAAAAAAAAAAAAAAAAAAAAAATGTTACCCTCGTGCGCGATGTTTCCACACGAAGCATGCGACCATCATGATAACCCTCCCCACCATGGGGGACTATTGTTCTCTAGCGGGGTCCGTTATTCCTATTCCCAGATCTCCCGCCCAATGAGGTCTTGCAAACACGTCCTCCGGGAAATTTCAACTTATCCCGCCTCGAAAACACATGCCCTCGCCTTGCTGCGCCGATGCGAGACCGCCAGTGGAGCCCCAGCCAAGGGTAAAGCACAAGGAAGTATCGAGTGACAGGATTGCTTTGGTGGGGATGGGGGCTGTCGGTGGCGAGGCAAGGACCTGGCCCTGAATAGACATGGAGGAGTCTCGAGCAAGGCCGCCGTTATTGCTGGGAACTGCCCCAATGCTGAAGAGAGCAAGGCGCTGGTTCAGCGTAAAACAAAACGAAGTCTCGAGCGGGAACGCTGGTTTCGTTGGGACGGCGGTTGTCGGCGGCGAGGAGGAACACCGCCTTGAGGAAGAAGGGAGGAAGCCTCGAGCAGGAGCCGTGGTTTTGTCGGGACGGGGGCTGTCGGCGGGGAGGAACAGCACCGTCTTGAGGAAAAAAATACAAAGCCTCGAGCGGGAGCGTTGTTCTTGCTGGGAGCGGCGCCAATTCAAAAGAGAACACGGCGCCAGTCCAAGGTAAAACGGGAAGAAGTCTCGAGCGGGAGCGCTGGTTTTGTTGGGACGGCGGCTTCCGGCGGCGAGCAAGAGCACCGGCCCTGAGAAAAAAGAGAAGAACTCTCGAGCGGGAGCGATGGTGTTGCTGGGGGCGGCGCCGATGAGAGAAAGAGTAGCGCGCCGGTCCTGATTTTGTTGGGACGGCGGCTTTCGGCGGCGAGCAAGAGCACCGGCCCTGAGCAAAAAAAGAGGAAATCTCGAGCGGGAGCGTTGTTGTTGTTGGGGGGCCGGTTTGGGCGCCCCCCAAACCGCTCGAGCGTGAGCCTCACCGCCAATGAAGATGTAGCCGGCGCCGAGGCGAGACCGCCAAAGCGCCTGGGGTGGTCCAACAATAATAATTGTTTAAGTGGGTAAAATTCAGCAGCAACAACAACAAAAACAAAAACAACAACAACAACAACAACAACAACAACAACAACAACAACAACAACAACAACAACAACAACAACAACAACAACGACGACGACGACAACGACAACGACAACGACAACAACAACAACAACAACAACAACAACAACGACAACAACAACAACAACAACAGCAACAGCAACAGCAACAGCAACAGCAACAATAATAACAACAAACCGTTATCTATACATACATATATACAAAAAAGAGAAAACACAACAAAGCTGTATATATATATATGTTATAGATAAAAAGAGAGGAGATAGAAATACAGAAGAATACGAACAAAAGAAGAAAAAAGAAATAACAACAAAACAAAAAAATAAAACAAAATCAAGAAGAAAAAAAAAAAAAAAAAAAAAAAAAAAAAAAAAAAAAAAAAAAAAAAAAAAAAAAAAAAAAAAAAAAAAAAAAAAAAAAAAAAAAAAAAAACGCTCTTACTTGCCCGCGTGTAATTCAAAACGGGTTCCGCACACCCTCATACCCGCCCTTTGGTCTTCGATCACACCCCCTTTGGGGGGATTATTTCCCTTTGCGGGGGGCGGCGGGCTTACACTGGCGGGCAAACCTGAACGGGCGGACAATCCTGCGTGGGCATACATGTGCCCGCCATTGGAATTGGTGTGGGCCCTGCAAAAAGAGGACGGAAGAACAAGGGAGAGTGGGCGGAAGGGAGGGGGAGGGACGAACGAAGAGGGAAAATGCCAGGAGAGAAGGAGCGAAGAGGGGGCGGTTGATTAGAGGCAGAGAGAGAGAAAAAAAAATAACAAAAAAAGAGGTAGAGAGAGAGGGGAGAGAAAGAGAGAAAAAGAGAGAGAGGAAAAAAAAGAGTGAGAAGGCAGGAGACGGGAGGGAGAAGGAAGGAGGGAGAGGAGGGAGAGGGGATAGGGCAGAGAGGCATAAGGATGAGGGAAGAGAGGAGGGAGAGAGAAGGGAGAAGAGGAGGGAGGAGGGAGGAGGGAGAGGGAGGAGGAACAGGAAGGTAAGAACGTGAACGCTCGAGGAAGTCTTAGGCGACAGCGCCGTTCCTGAAGGAAGTTTCGGGCGGAAGCCCACGACGGGCGGGCGATCCCCTGACGGGCGGGTCGGGCGGGTGGGACATTCATGACGAAAGCGCGATTACTAAGTATATTGTAACGGCGTCCTTGGCGCAGCGTGATTCCTGAGCGTCGAAGGCGCGATGTCTGAATAAATTGCATGGAAATCACAATCGAGAGCGCAACCCCTGAATAAAATGTGAAGGGTTCTCTGGCGGGAGCGGGGGTCCTGATTAAATTGCGAGAAAGCCTCGATTCAATCGCGAGGAGCTCTCAAGCGGGAGCGCCGTTCCCGAGTAAATTGTGGGGAAATCTCAGATGGGAGCGGGGGTCCTGACTAAATTGCAGGGAAGCCACAGGCGGGGGCACCGATCCTGAGTAAATTGTGAGGAAGTCTCAGGAGCGGGAGTGTTGAGTCAATTTGGCAGAAATCTCAAGCGAGAGCCGTTGTTGTTGTAATCCGGGGGGCCACGGGCCCAGTTTGAGCACCAAGACTTTCCTGTCAAGAAACAGGGTGCGAGCGTCGAAGGGCACACTTTGATTCAGAAAAATATATGCACTGGTGAGGGGGATCAACAATACTTATTCTTCAGAAGTGAGAGTTCAACAACAACAACAACAACAACAACAACAACAACAACAACAACAACAACAACAACAACAACAACAACAACAACAACAACTACTACTACAACAACAACAACAACAACAACAACAACAACAACAACAACAACAACAACAGCAACAACAGCAACAGCAACAGCAACAGCAACAGCAGCAGCAGCAGCAACAACAACAACAACAAAAAACGAATAATGTTCGCCCTTATCCCTGATCTGCTCGAGTGTCCAATAACGCCTATTTCCCAAACCCTCGATACCCGCCCTCTTCGTCTTCGATCGAGCCCCTTTTGGGGGTATACCTTTCTTCCCTGCATGCCGGGCCCCGGCAAGCGGCGGGGCGGCCGCGGACCGTCGGCCTGGCCAGCGGCAGCGCTGATCGGCGGGGCGGCCGCGGACCGTCGACCCGACCCCAAGAGGGACGGACAGGGGACCGACCACGACGACGACGACGACGACGTCGACGACGACGGCGACGACGACGACGAGCGAAAGAGAGAGCGAAAGAGAACGACAGCAGGGCCACAAGGACACGAAGTAGGCCACGAAGGGCAACAGCGGGGACACGAAGGGAATGCTTATGGGGCCACGACGAGCGCGAACGAGCGGGGGCCACGAAGGGCAGATAATGCAGGGCCACAGAAGGCAACGATGGGGCCACTGATGGTAGCAACTGGGCCGCGTAGGACAGATGCATATGGGGCCACCACGGGCGCGAACGAGCGGGGGCCACGAAGGGCATACATATATGGGGCCACGAAGGGCAGCGAGGGGGCCACGAAGGGATGCAACGGGGCCACGAAGGGCAGCGAGGGGGCCACGGAGGGCTGCAACGGGGGCACGAAGGGCTGCGACGGGGCCACGAAGGGCAGCGAGGGGGCCACGAAGGGCTGCAACGGGGCCACGAAACAAAGCGAGGGGGCCACGAAGGACTGCAACGGGACCACGAAGGGCAGCGAGGAGGCCACGAGGGGCTGCACCGGGGCCAAGGGCAGCGAGGGGGCCACGAAGGGCTACAACGGGGCCACGAAACAAAGCGAGGGGGCCACGAAGGGCTGCAACAGGGCCACGAAGGGCAGCGAGATCCCGATTCCTATGTAATCTGTGAGGGAGTCCTAAGCGTGAGCGCGACTCCTGGGTGCCTGGGTGTCGGGAGCGCGGCGCTTGAGCAAATTGCAAGAAATTCCAACGCCAGGGCGCTATTCTTCAGAAAATTGCAAGCAAGTCTCCAGCGAGAGCGCGACTCCAGAGCGCCAGGATAATAAATTCTAAGGAAGGCCCAGGCGATAGCGCGATTCCTGAATAAAACGCGAGGAAGTCTCGGGCGGGAGCAGGGGTCCTGGCTAAATTGTGGGGAAGTCTCAGGCGGGAGCCGTTGTTGTTGTAAACCGGGGGCCAACGACACAGTTTGACCCTCAAGACTTTCCCTGATAAAAAACAGGGTGCGAGCCCCGGGGAGGGCACTTCAATGGAAAAAAAAGTGCACCAGACGGGCGGATCAACAGTAATTCTTCTTCAGGAATGAGAGTTCAACAACAACAACAACAACAACAACAACAACAACAACAACAACATCATCAACAACAACAGCAGCAACAATAACAACAACAACAACGACAACGACAACAGCAACAGCAACAATCATTTTAAGACTGTTCGCTCTATTTGACACGCGTGTCTTGCATTCCGTATACCCCAACCCTCCATACCCGCCCACTTCGTCTTCGATTGCACCCCGTCGGGGGGAATATTTTCCTTGTCGGCCACTGACTGAAGTGCGAAGAAGTCTCGAGCGAGAGCGCCGTTCCTGAGATCGGGGGTCTCTCTGGCCAGGGGCTCTCGGAATACTTATGAAGAAATATCGTACGGGAGCCCTTGTCGCCGTGTCCCGGGCTTCCACCAACTTGCCTGAAATACGGGAACGTCTCGAGCGAGAGCGCCGTTCCTGAGTTCGGGGGCCCTCTTGGCCAGAATCTCTCGGAGTGAATCGTGAAGAAATATCGAACAGGAGCCCTTGTCGTCGTGGCTGGGCCTCCGCTAATTCAATTGAATTGCGAGGAAGTCTCGAGCGAGAGCGCCGTTCCTGAGTTCGGGGGCCTATCTGGCCAGAAGGTCTCGGGGTATATTGTGAGGAAGTATCGAGCGGGAGACGTTGTTGTCGTAGCTGGGCCTCCAAGGGCCCACATTTAGAGTCAAACCAACGCTCGAGCGGGAGCCTCGTTTTCATAGAAAATGTAGCCAGCGTCGAGGCGAGAGCGCGCGGAACCGTTTCCAGAGATCAACAATAATTCATAATTAGAAATAAGCATTCAACAACAACAATCATTTTAAGACTGTTCGCTCTTATCTGCTCGCGTGTCATTCAATATGCATATCCCAAACACTGGATACCCGCCCTCTTCGTCTTCGATCGTACCCCCTTTTGGAGGGTATATTCATTCCCTGCGTCGAGCGGGCAGGCCCAGACTGGCGTGTCGAGCGGGCGGGTCGTTGAAGCGTAAATTCTGCTTGAACCGCCAGGCAATATGTAGCAGGAGCGCGATTCCTGAGTGTCGAGGAGCGGCATCTGAATAAATTGTGAGGAAGTATCAGGCGGGAGCCGCGATTCGGTGGTAAGTTGCAAGGAAGTCCCAAGCGAGAACGCGATTCTTCAAAAAACTGTGAGGAAGTATCAAGCGGGAACCGCGATCCGGTGGTAACTTGCAAGGAAGTCCAAAACGAGAGCGCGATTCTTTAATAATTGTAAAGAAATATCAAGCGAGAGCCGTTGTTGTTGCAAACCGGGGGCCAACGACACAGTTTGACCATCAAGACTTTCCCTGATAAAAAAAACAGGGTGCGAGCCACGGGAAGGGCACTTCAATCGAAAAAAAACAATGTGCACCGGACAGAGGGGAACAACAATAGTTATTCTTCAGAAATGAGAGCTCAACAACAACAAGTCAAAAAAAGCAGTGGGATTCGATCGATGTTGAAGGATTTGTGGCCGTTTGGGGGGCCCGTCGCGGGACCATTTGAGCGCCGCTTCGGCCCCCTGGAGCTCTCGTGGGGATATCTCGGAGCTGCAGGGAACGCATCGGCGCGCTCGCAAGCCATCTTGAGACTTTTTGGGCCATGTTGAATCACTCTTGGGCCGTCGTGGGCTCCTCGGTAGGGAGACAGCGCTCAAGAAATCCGGCGGCCTTAAAAGAAAACGAAACCGACGCGACCCCAATTAGGGGAAAGCTTCCTGTTGCATGGGCGCAGTGCTTAGCATTGCAGTGCTCAGCATTGCAGTGCTCAGCATTGCTTGACATTGCTTGGCATTACGAGGCACCGGGGGCGGGGACCCCAGGGAACCCGGGGAGCCCGAGGAACCCAGGGAACCTGGGGAACCCGAAGAACCCAAAAAACCCCGGGGAACCTGGGGAACCCGGGGAACCAGGAACCCGGGGAACCGGGAGAACCCGCGGAACCTGGGGGACCCGGGAACCCGGGGAACCTGGGGAAACTGGGGAACCCGGGGAACCTGGGGAACCTCCGAGCAACGGGGAAAGTAACCCCCGAGGCACCAACCTGTAACCAAATAAGAACCCCTTAGGTAAGCCTAATTGGGGAATGTCGCGTGGGGGTCCCACTGGGACCATATTTGTATTGGGGCCCTCTTGGGCGATCTTCGGCTCCTAAGAGCTATCTTGAATACGGGTAGTGTACTGTACTGCTACTCAACGCCTTCACCTGCTTCGCCATCGCCACCACGCCACCACCGCATCAAATGATTACGCATGGTGGTAGCTTTGGGCTCAAGCCCTTGGATGCGACCCAGGGCGAACGTTGGTTCTGAGATTCTGGCGATCGGAGGAAGGCGTTGTGATCGCATCGCGCAGCCAGAGGTCCATCATATTCAAGCTGACTGGAGCAAACGCCAGCGTGAGGGTAACCCGACATTAAAAATTCGAAATACGACAATAGAAGTGCAAGGCAGATTCTGGCAATTTCTACCCTCACAAGGCATGCATGCGACGAGGTAGATTGGACCTGGGAAGAGCATACTTGACTCACCATTGTTGAGACGCCAACTACGAGAAGTGGGTGCAGGTGGCCAGGCAACGGGATCGGGGGAGCCCTTCGAGCGCGCGCGAGGAGACGCTGCCGGAGCAGCAGGAACGAAAGCTGAAAAGCTGGAACTGAGAGCTGGAGAGACGGACGGACCTGGCGCCGCTGTGAGGGTGGCTGGAAAGGAGGGCGAAGCATGGGCTGGGGACCATCCATAGACCATCGACCCGTACGCTGGGCCGCCCCGTTTTGTGCCAAGGATGCCCTCCGACACCTCCAGGACGGTCCAAGACGGCTTCCGATGCTCCACATGGCTTCCGAACTGGCCGAAGGTCTGGCCAAGCTGACCGACGATGGGATGGTTGCGAGACAGCAAAAACAGCTCGAGGACGGACCCAGACAATCGCACTGCACCACACTAAATGAACACGTGCGCACTATCAGTATGCGCTTTCCCCTGCTGCGCGCTCCGAAACGCATGTCAATACCGTACGCAACACGGCAACCGCCGCGCTGGCACTGCAGACAAGCTTCGGCATCAGACTTACGCGTCTCTCGCTCCCCTCGTCACTCCCCCCCCCGCGCCTGCTCGACGTCCTGGAGCTGGTCCGCGAAGTCGCGGTGCGACCCGCACTGCGAGCCCGCCCGCGAGTGCAGCAGGAGCCTCGTGTCCTCCAGCGTCCCGTCCGCCGGGGCCTCTGGCGCCGCTCCCCTCCGCGAAGGACTGAGGGGCAACGCTAGAGGGGGACCCGGATAGAACGGGAAACATCGACCCGGAACCGGCGATACCTCGCCGATGGATCGGCGATAGGCCCCCGACAGTGACTCCGCACCTTCCTGGGCGGGTTGGGGCTATCGGGCCCCCATCGTTGTGGATGCCATGAGAATGGGCACTCTAAGAATCCTATCATTGAATTAAAAAAGTGTTTAAAGTGTGTAAAACGTGTTCTAAAAACGTGTCTCTCATTAGTTGACAAATTCAAAACATGTTTGAAACATGTTTTAGACATCTGGAAACTATTTGGCAGCATGCTTCTCTCCATTGATCGTCCTCCTCAACCCTATCGGCGATCAATGGGCGATTGGGGGTCGATGTATCCCCCCCTGTGCCTATCCCCCCCCCCAACCGTTGCCCCTGGAGGACGCGAGCCCCTCCGCGCCAGTGTGTGCGCACGTGGTGTGCGGCCGGCCGGCCCGTGCCGCGCCCTTCCCCCCCGAGCTGCTGGCCGCCGTGGCCCTCGCCCCGCCCCCTCGGTGAGCCGATGCGGCGCGTGCGCTGCCGGAGCAGCTGAGCTTCAGCTCAGCTGCTTCGGACAAGCGCGCTCCACTGCTAGAGGCCTCCTGGCTGGGGTCGGAGTAGATGGGGTCGGAGGATCGCGCCGCATCGCCGATACATCGGCGATGCATGGGCGATGCATCGGCGATGCATCGGCGACGTCGACATGAAGCAAATCGGGCTGCACATCGAGCCGCATCGGCGATGCATCAGCGATGCGGCGCGATCCTCCGACACCCTCTACTCCGACCCCATCTAGGAGGTCTAGAACTACTCATAGGGGAACGAAGAATGGCAGAAGCATAAAAAACTCGGAGGTCCGCGCGGACCTCCGAGTTTTTATGTGTATGCCATTCTTCGCTCCCCTAACTCACAAAGTCACTACGCCCAGATGGCCTGGATCCGCCGCGGGGGAGTTGCGATGGATGACATTGGGGGAGACGTGTTTTTGCTCGGACGTTTACGAGTAGGCAAGTAGGCACTTTGCGAGTAATGGAACGCGCTCGGTGATGTTTGGGGGATGGGTGCCAGAGCGGCTCTGCCGAGGTAGGGGAGGGGGGCGTGCCTACGCTTCTGCCGATGGGGGCGGGGTGGGCTCCAGGGTGGCTTTGGCGCGCAAGAGGGGGGCTGCTCACGTTTCTGCAGCTGGGGGGGTGAGTGGTGAATGCCGGGGTGGCTTTGCTGGGGCAAGGGGTGAAGGAGGGCGGGGGGAGGAGTGAGGGGCGTGCCCCGCGTTTCTGCTGCTGGGGGGGGGTGAGTGAGTGCCAGAATGGTTTCGCTGAAGGGGGGTCGGGGGGAGCTGGGGCGTGCCCTCGCTGCTGCTGCCAGGGGGGGCGGGGGGGAATGTCGGGGTACCTTTTTGCCCGAGAGGGGAACGGGAGAGTGCGTTCCCCGTTTTGCTGCGGGGGGGGGGGGGGGCGCTTCTGCTGCTAAGGAAGTGAAGGCGGGGGCCGTCGACCCGAGTCGGCGCCGAGGCCCGGGTTGGGCCCTGGGGCTGGCGCTGGGCCGCGGCCTGAGCCAGGGGCCCAGTCTGGGGCCGGGCTGGGGCCAAAACTGGCCCGCCGGGGGCCCCGGCGGCCGAGGTCGCGGCCGCCCGCGGCTCTGAGTCCCACCAGCCCTCTGGGCGTAGGTGGTCTAGGGAATTTCCTCTTCCAACCCCCTTTTTCCCCTTGGGGGGGGTCTATCACTGTGCCCTATCGATATACACCCCTATCCCGCTCCTGGCCAGCGACCAACCCAAAACCATGACGACCCAACGAAAGCCCCCCCGCGCCATCCCTACCAAAAACAATACAAAACGCACTCTGCCTCCACACTTGGAGCATGCGCGGCCGCCCCGCGACCATTTGCATTGGTATTTTACAGGGACGGCTGGGGCGCCAGTACATCCCACCCGCCTTCTGGGCGCAGGTGGTCGACCGACTGGTTTGACAAATCAACGGTTGCTGCCCTTCTCGCACGTTGGTTTTTCATGCGTGGATGGGGGGGGGGGCGCGCGGTGGCCAGCAGCCACACGCGCGCGCTGGGGCGCGCGCAATTGCTGGCGTAGCAGCAGTTGCGGCGCACGCTGGTGGAGCCACTATTGGTTCCCAGTGGCTGGCGCGCCTGGCGCAGCTGGAGCGCGTGGAACACTGGGCGCACGTGGACACGTGCCGCAGCTGGCGCGCCTGGCACGATTGAGCCTCCAGGGTCTGGTGCATCTGGAACCCGTGGCGTCAGCGGCGCTCGCACGCGCTTTGCTGACTCCCGGGTGTCACGTGCGTGCTGGGAGGGCAAATGGGAGTTAGCAATATGTGTATACAGGGAGACGGCCGAGGGGCCGCTCCTGTATGGGGTCCGTTGGTAGAGGTGTCTGTTCCTGGGCACTGCGCAGCGAGCAGTGCGCCACGTTCAGTTTACCAACGCCTGAGCCAATACAGTTGCGGAAGGGATGCAATAGGGAAGTGAGCGGACCACACACACACACGCACACACACACACGCAAACACACAAACACACACACACACACACACACACACACACCGTTCCGAAGCCTGCCAGCTCCCGATGGCCTCGGGCCCACGGAAAACAAGGGCAGGGATCGGGATCGGGAGTACGAGGTCCACTCACAACCCCGCTAAATTTACCGCCCCTCCAAGCGAGGGAACAATGGCTAGGAAGGTGGGGGGGGACTAACCCAGCCACACGGGGTTACTTAGGAGTACCTACCCGACTTAGCGGGCCCTGGGCGCGCCCACCCCCCCCCCAAAAAAAAAAAAAAAACGGCACTCCAGGACGATACTCCGTCGCCGCAGGTGACAGGACCGAGAGAGCAAGGGAAAGAGAGATAAAGAAGAGGTGGCACCAGCGTCCTTCGATGCAAATGGGGCCACCGACGCAGCGCACGCGTAAAGTGCGACAGATCGAAATGCGACGACAACCCGACCAACGTAAAATCATCTCTCATTCACGGGACACTCCAGGCCCACAGGTTTCGAGGGATCTCCAGGCCCGTGTTTAAACATATGTACATATAGTTGTGATGACAACTGGCTTCTGAGATAAGTCACGCATGATGCGAGGCACCCCAAGTCCAAATAGTAATGTCAGAGGTGAATGAGGTTGATCATGAAGAGGGCGCTGGATCGGTCGTACGCAGACGACGTTTCCGGACTCAAAACTAAACTGATGTTGGATGAATAAGATTTCTGGCGGACGACCTGCCTGGGTGCGTTTATGTCCGGTCGACAGATCATGTCATATAACTATCGAATCGGCATACAGTGCGAAATCTAATATACCCCATCAAACAATGCGTGTATCAGGATATATCACAAATATCATGAATAAGATTGATGTCAAGTCCGTATCCACAATCAACCTCAAAATATATGTATCAAGATACGCAGCAAAATCTGTAATTCCATACTCACCTCCAGTTGTCATAGTAACGCTCGTCCCAAACACGATTGCCACGATCGCTGAAAAAGCTCATGGAGATCGTCTGGTAGTTGTCCCATGACCATATGTACTCGTTGTCCTCGCTGCCGATGTAGATCCACTGGGACAGGTGGTGCGACCAGTAGAGGTAAGTGTCATGCTGGCAGTGCTGCAGTCCGCGACGCCAGAAGGCGTGGACTTTGCGGAACTCGCGCACGGCACTCTGGCTGCGACCGCGGTCGCCATCATAGTCGAAGTCGCGCCTCGGTGGTGTTAGGGGACGATATGATGTCGATGAATAGGCGGCTCCGCCAGTCCCGTCCGCGGCGTCGCCCCAGCCAACGCCGCCAGGAGCATAGGCAAGCGCGGGGCCATCGCGGCGCGGGGGTGGAGAAGCAGGGGTGAGGCGGACAGGCTCCTCGGGGGTGACATCAAAAGTCATCACTCTTACTCTTGCCATCGCCTTTGGGTACCTGCGCCCGGAACTCCTCCAGCGCGACACGATTCACCCGGCCTGTCCCCCTCCCTGAAGGAGCGGAAAAGTCAGACATCTCCGGCCAAGCCGCTCGCCACGAAGCATTGCTCCGGGAGCTTGCACCCTCCGGCCGGCGTAACCGAGCCTCCGGCTCTCGTCGTAGAGGCGCATCGACTTGTTCACGTCGTCGATCGTGTACGGGCGCAAACATGCCTTCACTCTTTCTTCTGTCATCTGATGATGGATCTGATCGCGATGTGCGATCTGATCGCGACCGCGATGGGATCGCGGATGGATATCTGGTCGCGATCGCGGATAGGGATCTGTCCGATCCTATGACCGACAAAGGATTGCGATCATTGGCCGATGACCTTGCCACAAATAGCGCCAGCCTCGTTCCGAATCGTCTCGTTCGATTGATCGGCCGCAAGTTGGGCGCTGGTGATGACACCCGCAGGAAGATTCAACAATTGATCGAGAACGGAGCTGCCAAGTGCCAGGAGGCCGAACATCAGTGCACGAGCTGCTACCGAGATCTCCCCAATGAGGGCTCAAACAACGATGGCATATGCCACATCTGTTCTGAGTCCATTAGATCATGGGGGAACAGGTACGCACCAGATCAAGGTCCTGGCTGATGTGCACACGTGGATCCGCGAACAGACGGACGTGAACATCGTACGCCAAATCACGCGTGCTGATGTCCAGATTCGCGTCACAGGCACACGTTCCGACGATTCACGGGCGAATGATGTTCTCCGCAGGCTCGCTCACAAAGCCAGGGTCCGGTACGCCAAACGGTTGGAGGCTGGCGGCCCCGGCCCTGGCGAATGCCGTATCGGTGGACTGGGGGACGCTGACCAAGAAGGAACGGTTCTCTATCATCCGTACCCCGATGTCGCGCGTCGGCTCCTCGAGGATGTTATTTTCCATGGCCAGATGACAAAAGGAAAAGCGCAGGCATGTCTGCGCCCATACACGATCGAAAACATAAACAAGGCGATGCGCCTCTACGACGAGAGCCAG